CCTAACCCACGCGTGACACATTCCAGGGTTTGAGACTATCCGCGCCAGCCATGTTTGATGTTTGGTGTAACCCTGACACAATTGAGATGGCAGGGACTTTGAGACAGAACTTCAGGGGCACTATGCAACCTGCACGAAGCTCGACGTGACTCTCAACAATTTCATTTCCAGATCCAAGCTATGAGCTTAGATCTATAGTTGTCCCAAGATGTTGGAAACATGTATATTTTGGGCCATGGTTGCCTAGGCAGATCAAGAAGCCGAAGGCTGAGAGTACTGAGGATGCTGGGAAGAAATCCTCAAGGCCAAAGGCCAAGGGGAAGGCAGCGAAGAAAGCCAAAGCGAAGTCCGCCAGTTCAAAGCGCAAGGCTGATGCTTTGGAGGGGTAGCTGATTTTGATTTGCTCCAGCCACAGATTTTGGAGCTTTTTTTGGCCACAATGGCATAGACTGATTGGTAGGGAAGGCGGTTGGAAAGCCGCATTCAAAACTGTCAGACGCTGTGTGGCGAAGACAAGCTGTGGTGCAAAAACAAGCCGTACTTGCTTTGGAATTGTTCTAGCACGCATGCTTCAAACGAACCAGGTTGTACCCAGTGCATGGCCAGGTCCAGATGACAGCGTGAGCATGGGTCCTAGAATACGCATGGTGTCAGTTTTGGGTTTCGCCTTTTTGCCACTGGCTGGTGTCCCAGGCTCTGATGAAGACATTGCCGGTGAGCTCGTGAAAGGCGTGGAGCAAGGCATTCCTGCAAAACACGCATGCAAGATGGCGGGGATGGTTTCGAGAAAACTCAAAAAAACATGGCCCTTTGGCTGAATGGTTTTTGTGTCAGGGTTGACCATTAGATATCCACTTTTGTGGTCCTCACTTTGGTTCCTAGGCATTGCAGACACTGAACTTTCTTTGTTGGCGGAGCCAAAGAATGTCAAAGTCTCGCACGGCTGTCGCCGGCTTCACGCTTTTGCTGCAAAGACTGGGCGCCGTCTGCCAGTGGAAGTTGTACTAGTGCCCACGATTGTGCGCAGGATCTCCAAAGCCAGAGTTCGTGAAGTGGACTATGACTACCCGACCTTGCCGCTTTCCGCGTGGATGGAAACCGCATTCAGCTTTGGTGGTCACTTCTTTCTTGGTGGGAGAAGCACGGATCATTTCGCCGAGTTTTCCAACATCCTGAGGGATTGGTGGTTGAGTTACAAAGCGGTAGACCCCAACTTGCCATTTTACAAAGATTTTCCAGAAGATGCCTATGGGTTTTCATTCCCAATTGCAATTCATGGAGATGAGGGCCGAGGCCGCTACAAGCGGCCAATTATGATTTTCAGCTATCAGCCGGTCATCACCAACTTTGATGGCAAAGCCAATTTGAAGGGGCCCGCCAAGTCAGTCCAAAATATATATATATATAGATTTTGAATTTGTGAATGTTTGAAGGATTTGTTTATCTATACTCTATATAGGATATATACAAGCCAAACCCTGAGGGCAACATACACCAACCGCCTCTTGTATGCAGCTGTTCCATCGGCTATGTACGCCAAGAACGACAAGACTTTTGATGGATTGTTTGACGCGCTTGTGCAAGACTTCAATAGATTGTACGAAGGGGGCTTTGAAGTTCCTCAACCAGTCATATGTTTTTTTGACGGTGGTTTGTGGAGTAAGGGGGTCCTAAAAGCCTCGAAGATCCCAATGGTCCTAGACTCTTAGACATCTGGGTCTTTGCCCAGGTTGCCATCAATGGTCAGCCAGTGAGATTGAGACCCGTGTACGTTGGATTGAAAGGTGATTGGCCATTCCTCAGGAAGATCGCAAAACTGAAGCCAGGTTTCCAAGCTAGAAATCCCCGGAAGTGTCACCTTTGTGACGTACAAGTGTCTTGGACCACTTGTAACTTTTTTTACTTTCTTTGAGGGTGAAGGGATCTGAAGTTGTAATGTCAATTTCACTAATTTGTAAACAAAGCTAGCTATCTAAGGAGTGGTGGAACATGTCACCTGATGGACCTTTGCGCAGCTTATCTGTTGGGTACATCAATCCGTCACCTTTCAAGGCCAATTGCTATCTTCCTTTGTCCAACATCCCCGGGGGCACGGAACCATCCCGAATCCAAACGGATCCTACTCACACCTATCACATAGGTTATGGGAAAGATGAGAACGCCAGCGCATTGATGGTTTTAGTGAAGATCGGTCACTTTGGGCAAAGGGGTACTGTTGATGCAAAGTTGGAGAGGGCTTTTGAACGCTATGCCACTTGGTGTAAGACCAACCGCAAGCATACCAGAATTTCCTACTTCAACAAATTGCAGTTCAAGATTCAGCAGCATCTCACCTGTGCCCAGAACTATACTTTTCTTTCCCTCAAACTTTGGGGATGGTTTGTGCAAACAAAAGCTACCCCTTCTCATTTTCCCTCGCCAATAGAAGGACTGGTGCATACCCCTCTGGTGGCGGTAAAGGCCACGATACAGCCATCTTGGGATCCTGGCTGGAAGTTGAGCTTTCTTCAGCATCCGTGGCCTCAGTCGCCAGGCTGTCACATAGAGCATTGCTTTGGTTGAGCCCGCCTATTCAGGTATATTTCACACACTCACTCTCTTTTATTGAGGGGTGTGGATGTAGTCTGAAGGGTTTCTCAGCTTATGTCCCTAAGGATCACCCCTTGTCAGAAGTCCTTGAAGTGGTGAAATATATGAACCGGGCAAGTGGCAGCTTCTGGAGGACGCTCTATGCCAATGGGTTCTTCCTATCTCCCGATGTGGCAACAACAGCCATCAGTGCAGGTTGGGCCATGGTGGACGCTTAGGCTATAGATCAGAAGGCTTTGTTTGGGATTCCTCACACCCGAAACCAAACATCCTTGACAGTACGCAAGGAAGCATACGCTTGCCTGAGTTCACTGACGGCTAGTCTACGACTACGGTTGTTCAAGTGCAGGCCGAAGCTGCACATGATGGGCCATATACTGTTCCGTGACTGAAATGTATGTAGATTCATGAATGTACACGTGATTAATGCACTCATGAACTCTAGCTTTTCTCACCATGGACCATGGCCCAACCTGCCTAAGGCTTGACCTCTCGCACCAACTCACTACCGCGAATCGTGCTTTGAATCCAACCGTTTGGATGTGTTGGGGCGATGAGGATTTTATTGGTAAAATCAGTAGATCCTCACGCCATCAGCACAGCCTTACCACCCCTCAGAGAACAATCGAGGTCTCACTTCTGAGTTACCACCGATACTGGAAGGAGTGCTTCCGCTGAGGTCCCTTGCGAGAAAAGCTTGGCCCAGCGCATCGATGCCAGTCGTAGGTGTGTGCATAAGTGTGAGCAGGCGGTCAGGAGATGAATGACTTGAGAGGTGGTATGAGCACTTTTTAGTGGTTAGATACACTTTTTGGAGGTTGGTAGCGTTTTTAGTTTTGAGCGTTTTTTTTTGTATCGAAGGGATGTACAGGATTATATATAATGTTCATCTCATGCAAATACTAATCCCAAAGCTCCATTGATATAAAACCCAAGTTTTGCTATGACATGTCCATGGGTTAGTTATTGGCTATTGGTATGTCCATGGGTTGTAAGCTATTGGCAAGTGATGTTTGATAAATGTGACCTCGTTTGTCCTGCTCTTGGCCAAGAGGAGGGGGTTGCAGATTGAAGAATGAAGAAGGGGCCCAGTCAGGCACGGCGGGTGTTTAGGCGAGGAAAAGGGCAGATCCAAATGAGCAGTGTTGGCTCAGGAACTCTAGCGTTCCCACAAAGCAGCATCATAGATCATTCAAGACCCAAACATCTCAAACTGCCACGGCAAGTTCAGCCTCAACTTTCGTAATCGTCAGGTGGGTTCAGGGCCGCAAGTTTGGCGCACCATGTGACAGTGGCACCACTACACTGCCCTTGTGCACGGATCTGGATCCTGACATTCCAGTGTTTGCTGCCGTTGTGAAACTGGTCGCTGCCTGCGCAGCTCCTCAGGCAAGACAGGAATCTGCGTCTGGAGCGCAAGTCCACCGGCAGACGACAGACTGCGTAAGTCGAAACAGCGCCCGGAAGGTGGTTGCCTGGGCCACCTGGGTGACCAATCAAACCTGTGACGGAGAGCTGGCTGCAGACTGCTACCAGCTGTTCAGCAGACATACTGCAAAGGTATTGGTATGGGTCAAAGGTATTGGTATTCGTTGACGTACAGTCAGTCAAACAAGTGATTCGGAAATGCGCCACACCCGGGAAACTTGTTGGCATCACTGTCAATGCATGATCTGTTGCCTTCAGCTATCCAAGCTCTCTGTCGACGATCCATGTGATCTCTTCCCATCTTGGCAGCAACCTCACGCTTATACGGAGACTTTTGTCTTTCTCATTCTCATGGGATCCTGGCTGAGTTGGGAACCTGAACACGTCCGTCCTTGCCTTTGCTCGCCCTTGCATCTGTCCCACGTTCTCTTCTTTGACAAGCTTCCGATCAGGTAGCCCTGCGAACGCCCCTTACAACCCAGTTGGCCCATAGTGGTTCGAAGCCACAGGTCCCATTTCTCATCCAAATCAGGGTATGTTGCCGATGCCATCGGATGCATTGCCAACACAAAGGTCTTGGTCCTCCTTCAACCATGTGTATAGCTGAACCCTTTTCGCATGCGGTATGCGGTCACTGGATTTGTCGAAGTGGCGATTGCATATGCATTGCTCTACTTGGGTGTGCTTTGGAGTCCGAGAACTCAACAACGAGTTGTAATTTTGCAAAATCGTTGAAACCTGTCTATCTACAATAGATTCAATAGAAGTACTGCAACTTGTGAAGACTTCTGCAAACAGCTACAACCTTCTTAGGAACGTGCTCCATGTGTTTCCAGAACTTGCCGCAACTTGTATTGAACCTATTAATATGGAAATGGTATCTAGGGCAAACAAAACAAGTTAAGCTGGTTTCACCTTGATTCGACTTGCATCTTGACATCATTCAACTGGCACGCTTGTTGATCGAACAGTGGCACCCGCACCTCGGCCTCGGCACTGGTTGCCTTGGACTTGCGCCAGAAAGAAGCACTCTTGTTGAGACAGCTGTGGGTGTCTTCCCCAGATACACCGAACCCCAAAAAGAAACGGGACGAGTCCCGTTTTTGCACGTAGGTCGAAAACAACTGTGGCGCGTGATGGCGGTGTGACCGGCACGATGGGACGCTCGGTGTTGAACACATCACCCTCAAAGTGTGGAGGGTACCCGTACCCTCCAACAGGTCTTTACTTGAGGGTTGTGGGGCCCAGGGCCCAATTGACCGGTCGGGTCCATCTGTGGATCCAGATGGGCTATGCTCCGGTCGGATCTGATGGTTCGATCCAAACAGCCAATTGCAGACGTGCCGTTGGGCGCGGTGCTAGGACTCAGTCCGCCAATTCCCACACCAAAAAACACAAGAACATGTCATAAATAAGAAAGAAGTACCAGGACTTCTGACACTCAGACCAGCTCGAGACCTGGGCATCGCCCTTTCCCAACCCTTCTTCATGTCAGGGTGCTATCCATGGAGGGCGCCGGTTCCAGACGTGCCCCGATGTCACATCCACGGCCGCTGGATGGGACGAGCCACACCACCCCGAGCTCTGTGACCCCTGGTTTATGCATTTGTTGGACTTCTCGTCCTTCTTCGGTTGAGAGGGTCTTTCATCTGAAATCGACCAACCAAAGCTGGCCGCGAAGACGATCCGTACCACGCGCGAGAGATGCACGGGACGACTCTGGGTATCCGTACCAGGCGCTCCAAAGTCTTTGGGAGCAGCAAGAGCACTGCGTCAGACAGCAGACCTGAGGACGCACATGCCGTGTCTTCGGCACGTGGCACCGGTTCTTTTTGTGGCGAAGCGACGAACGAGTCGCTCAGTCCGGTCCTGAAATTGGGGCCCGTTGTGACATTGGGGGGTCTGACTAGTGGAGTCGAGTCCACCATGTCAAGCTATATTTATAACATTGTACAGATACAGTCACTTGATCTAGCAACAGCCACGCTGAGGCAAATAGGACGAAGCATTTTTGTCGCTATCCGACGTACACTGGTATCGGTTGGAAGGCCTGAAAGGCGCTTGGTTGGAACGCCAACAACACCAAAGCCCTAAGCAACTCCCTGGAGATCCCTGGAGCCTCCAACTCCCGGAAAAGGTAGGCCAGGAGCCCTGAAAAGATAAGAAGTTCAGTAAAAGACGAGACCTTTACTTTTCCTTCGTGAATCTTCAGAAATTCCATGAATTCATCCCTCCCCGTTCCTCAGACCACTCGTTTGATGAAATGGTCGAAAGAAACTGCTCGATCTGAACGCATGGCATGGCAATGGTGAGAAACAGATCTTCATCACATGTAGTGTCACTGAGAGAGGTCTTATATATACTTCGTTGGTTTACTGGGGGGGCTCGAAACCTGAACGAACCGATCGGTCCAACAGGGGAGACTCACTGACTCCCAGTTTTCCGCTTTGTGAGCCCAGTCCTTTGAACCCAAGGCCACATGCTATACATCAAACCTGACTGCCATGAATTCGCACCCACTCCGGAAGAACAGCCACATCAGTTGAGCAACAACGTGCACCGGACCAGACGCACCAGCTCAAGTCCTGACTCGCGAGGGCGAGGTGAGAACGACACGAATCGTTGCTCCCATGGCTGTGCCCTATAGGGCTCCAACCTTATCCTCAGAGGTATTTGGACCCTCCTGGCACCCACTCCAACCACCTTCGAAACGGAGGTTGGAGCCCTAGGGGTGGGTCAGAGGCGCCCCGAACTCCCCTCCCAATCGGTGGACCGGTCCCTCCGGTTGACCGGTGCCAATCCCAGAGCGTCGACCATGCAGGTGGGAAGGTTCCTGACCTGTGTCGTTCAGAGGTCCACCTTCTTGTCTGGGTTTTCGGCACCTTCCGGCACCCCCCCACCCGCCATGGTGCTGGACATCGACTCTGAAAGGTGATGCTTCTCTTTGAAAAAGAAGCCCATTCTCTGCGGGTCGGACCACGAACCCCCAAACCACTGGGTGGTAGACAGGTTCGTCGTTTCGACCACCGGTCTTCCGGTGGCTGGGGGGGTACCACAATGGACAGTTCCCTTCAAGTTATGGGTGATGTGTTCGACACTTGTATCCAAAGTGAGGGTGTAGTGATGGTGGCAGTGGATCCCTATAGGGTAGGACAAACCGACATGACGCTTGGACTGGCTTGGCTGGGGGAACATTCCGATGTTTCAATAGCAAACATTGCCGAAGTCCAAGGGTTGTCTGATGTCTACTTTCCTCTTTTTTAGAAGCCCTTACCAGCCAAGGAGATCGGCAAACACTTGCTACGCCATGAGTGCCTTTCTTCCAACGCAGGAACAACAAACACACCCACTTGGACAAACACAACTCGCTATAGAAACCACTACAGGATATATATAAGGATAGTATCTTGTCTTGAAAGATCTTTGAAAGGAACAATATATATATATATATATATATCGCACGTACGGGCTCCAAACTTGAATCCCTTCAACATTTCCTTATTTGGTGTTCTCATAGAACATCTATCTATAGGCCTACCAGTGTAGCGGGTGGGCGACTGGGCAGTTGCAGTTCAAAAAGAGCAACCACCACCACGGGATGTCAACGGACATAATATTACCGAACTTATATGCAGCTTGGACTTTCACCACGTGAATCCAGCAAAACCATGCAAAACCATGCAAAACCTGCACTCTCGACACCTTGAGGGTTCCTTGTTGATCATACAACTAAACCTTGTAGCGCCGGCGCTGGGGCGTTGCAGGACCGAAAATGTTGCCCTCCTGTACCAGGCCCCCGGTGACCGGGCTGCTTCATGGACATCCCTTAGCCTTAACCTCGGACATCCCGTACCACAACGGAGGGCCCTGGTAGAGGGAGGGTCCGGCGTTTGTGTCAGGGTCCATCCATGGGCGTCTACTCTTCGGTCATGCACCGAATCTGCACCCCGTTCCATGCGGCCGTCTCACCGGCCGCGCCGCGGCCGGCATCGTCTCTTTCTCGCGGCCGGCATCCCCGACTGCGTCCATCGCAGAAACCGCACGCGTTTCTGCGTTCTGCTCAGGTCGCCTGAGCCAGAACTCCTCTGCGACAGATCTCCAATCCGCGGCCGTTCTTCGCCCCCGTCGCCAGACTCGGACGACTGTGACCCAAAACGCAACCTGTCTGGGACTGGCATGTTTGGAGTGGTTGATTTCAGGGGTCAATGTAATGCCAATGTCGGATTAATAAGCCGCCCCTTTCAAGGTCAACAAGGTCAAGAAGGTTTGAGATTGGAGGTATTGGAGACCAAATCCCCTCAAATAAAGAGATGCATGAGGAAAGGGTGGATCAGAAGATCAGTTTCACCATGGACAAGAAGATATGGCATACTGACCAAAAATAAATTTTACTTTTCTGGGGCAGCTGGGCTTCATTAAAAGGCTGAGGTTTCCGCCAAGGAACATTTTAATTAGGGTGATTAGTTTATTTAGTGTTGCGGGGCTCGAGCTGGGCTTGATTATACAATAGGGGTATACTTAATCCTATATTGACATTATATAGACGCCATCTCTTCCAGTGGTTCACTTGGTTCAGTCGTCCCTGCACCAGGATGAAGTCGCGGGGTCAATATCCACGCCGCTAAAGCTCGCGGGGTCATCCCGCGAGCCGGTTATCAGCTCTGGAAACCGAAGTCCGGTCAAACCATGTCAAACCTTCTTCTTTCAAACATGTACATTTCTTCTGGTAACAATAAACATGACGTAAATGAATGAGATAAAGACACCAATGCATGCTTCACGATTTGTTGGAAGCCACTTGGCTGTTTATTTCTGGAGAACACTTGCCAATCGCAGTGGATGTTTATCGCAGTGGATCGATGTTCGCTAGCGGCGCTAACGTCACCCTACCCAACGTCAGAAGGCCATGCGAGCTTGGAACCAATCCTGCCTCATCCCAACTCTGCAACAACCCTGACTCAACCAAAACATGGGTGTCCTGAGAGACCGCTGTGGGTGTCCTCCCCAACATGGCACCCTCCACCCCCAAAAGAAACAGGACTCATCTGGTGAAAAGGGGCACAACTGTGGCGCGTGAAGGCTCATAGGGGTGACGGGCACGACGGGACCCTCCAAGGCAACAGTGTCGAGCACATCACTCTCAAAGTGTCGAGGGCAGTGGATCCATAGGGTCAAGCCATGGCATCCATAGACCCTTTGGCCCCAAATGCCAAACAACTGTTGGACATACTCCGGGAGAACAGCCTCTTGGGGGAGCAAGCTTTTTCAGAATCGCAGCCTCTATCTGAGACTCCTCTTCTTCGCATCGAGAAAACAACAAAAAACAAGAAAAACCTCAAAAACTTCACCTCTCAGACGACCTGGCCACGCCGGCTGGTCGACAGGAGCGACATATCTTCAGAGATCGATTTCCAGACCTGTTGGTGACCGGTCAAATTCCCCGCAGCGGGCCATTGTTGCGCCACAGGAAGTAGCTGGGGCAAGAAAAGGCCAATTTGGCGGCCAAATACCAATGCAATGCAGGTGTAACTTCTGTGCTAGTCTTGTCTTGCCGCAATTGACCTTAGTTAAGAACAACACACACATGTTTCATCGTGTCTCTGGACCCTTATGAAAGTGTGGCAACTGAATCCCCGCTACGAACGGGCTCCCGAATGGCACCTCGCTGCAGACTGGCAGGTCACCACAATGAATTGCTGACAAGTCCGTCCACTAGGCCCCGGTGGTGAAACGATGTGACTGAAGCTTGAATCCTGGAAACTCATGTGGTATATGACCTGGTCACTGACACGACATCATGGGCCATTCTTGAACTGTCAGAAATTTCCTGGCTGTAACAGCCCCACTGGCTTGTAATCCATTTTGTCCAAGCCTTTTTGAATAGAATTGCCTCCTCCTTTGCGTGAAACAGGTCTACATTGTTGAGCAACCTTTTTCTCAACCAATTCCCTGTACAAGATCTGTTCTTTGCGATGAAATCGGGATGGCACGGACTGCGCCGCCGCGGTGTCCGCGCCTCTTGCTGCGGCGATCCGCGTACTTCTTGCGGAGCTTCTCCAATTGCGCATGCTCCTTGCTACAGAAGTGGCAGAAGCGGCAAGTATCGCCTCCCAGCGGCTGGTCCCGACCGTGAGGGTGTGAAATCCACATCGTGGGTCGCGCTTTCCCAAGTGATTTTGGGTGCCCCACACACATCCTTTCAATGGATGGGATTAGACACAATTCCTTTGGAACTTCTCGTTTGGCCAATGAAAAAGGTCCCTTTGGCCAGGCAAAACGGAGGGTCCAAACCTGAAGGGTGCAGTCATCGACTGTGACATCCAATCACCGGGGATTGACACTGCACATGCTGAAGACATCCAACGTTCGGACTTCAAACTGAACTGGTCTGAAATCATTTGCAGCCCTACCTCCAAACAAATTCAAACACATAATATTGATATATATATATATATGTTCAATCCATCCTGTAATCGTAAGGGGGTCCAACATATAACAAATCCCCCTCCTGAAACCTACCCTTGAAAAGGAAATGGAGATACTGTAATAGAGCCCATCCAAAACGGATGGACCAAATAAAAAACAACTGAAAAATTCATTCAGGTCACCCAGGCGGCAGCCACCCCTTGGATTTGGAGCAAACGAATTCATTCAGGGTCATGTCGGGCGCGCGTCTCGCATCACCCAAAATTGTGACGAAAACAGCGAACACACATTCCAGAACCCTATAGGTCACCAATGCTTCGACCTGGGCAGCCCGGGCCCCAACCCCAACCCGAAAAATCTCTAAAGCCAGGCAGTGCCAGAAACTCAATGAAATCCAAACAATTGGGCATATTGATCAGGCCAGGGGTGATGGATTTCAGGTTTTTTCGTGGCATCTATTCAAGTCCGGCAATGGCGTGTCTGGGTGATGCAACCAAGAGTGTCCACTGCTGCACGGCTGTGGTTTGCATGAGTTCACCAGTCACGCTATGCAACCAGGAGTCTCTCGGAAGTGAAAAAAAAACGGCACGGTTTACAAGCGCCATTCTGATGAGCAGTCCAAGTCCCGAAGTCCTGAGTTTGGACGACAAATCAAGTTTAAGAACGCTTGGGACCAAAGAACGAATGTCATGAAACGACACATTAAAATTCAAAAACAAAACATTTATATATACATTTATTGAAACGAACTCTATACGCACACATTTTAGTACATGTTGTTAAAACATGTTCCCTCTCATAAAGAAATTTGGCTGTGGGTCCTGACCCCGACAGATCAACACAAACAACGTTGGCCTGAAAAAAACCGTAACCTACGACTACGCACCCACAATAAATCCCTTTTACCACGTTCATCCTTAGTTGATAAGGCCTTGAGCGTATGAGTATATACGCGAAGGAAGATCTACCATCAACAACGTAGTCAAGGGAAAACACTCTGATCAAGAAAAAGAATATATACAGTATATGAGTATATCCTGGTACCCCTGAAGAGTTATAATTATCATGTAATTATCAATCTTTTGGATAATGGTGTGACAAAAAGCACTCCAGAGTGGAAAAAATCAGTCCAACCGCAATTGCGTTCAGATTGCGTTCGCAGTGCGTTCACTTTGCGTTCAATTAACCTTTGCTTTGCCTTCAAGATACGTTGCGGAGCAACAAAAACCATTCTGGAACAACTATTCTCACTCCGGAGTGCTTTTTGTCACACCACTGTCCAAAAGATTGATCGTTACAAAACGGAGTGATAATTATCACTCTTCAGTATATATATGAACAAGGTGGAGAAGTGGTTCGTGGCCCGGGCAATTTGCACACCTTTTCACGCGTTTGCGCGGTCTCGTACCACTTCGCCAACTTTCTGCAGCAGACAGCCTTGACAGCTTCTTCTGAACTGAAAGGAGTCGACATATGTCCACAGTCTGTGGCTGACTGGTGGTCGCCTCAAGACTTGTCAGAACACTGCGCCCCCGCCGCCTCGCTCACGCCGCGCTTCCGGCACTGACGGTCTCTTTGCGTGGAAGCTTCATAGCAACTCTGGTGAAGTCCGTTTTGCAGCAGCGTGTTCGAGCTCAATAACTCTGCAGCATTTGGCCCATAAGCAAAAGTCTCGTGAGGTAGCAGAGACTGACATATATACAGTATATATATATATATATCTTCCTACAAGGAACTGTAAAGAACATCTTCCACACTCTCAGGCACGGGTCTAGCACCTTCTTCAACTAAGACACGTGGAAGTGGAGAAACCACGGTCCATTCACGCTTCTACAGCTGCACAACAATAAATATGTAACTGGAAAAACTTGAGAGCTGTCTTTCTTGGGCGCTGCTTCTTCCATGCAATTACCTGCGCTGAGAAGTAGCAATTTCTTGAGATTTCCTTTTTTCAGAGGCCACACAACAGCACTGCGTGTCACCCGACCCTAGACGTCAATGGTTGGGATTGACAACCCTATGTTTTGCGCAAATTCTTGTAAAGTGAAGTCAACATTGCGATCCACCGTGCGAGCACGCAGCTGAACTCGCCCGGCTCTTGCTTCCAAATACGCAATGAACCCTGCGCATGTACTGTATCAAATCATATGTATGGAAGCCCCGTCATGGCAGTGGAATCGGATTCTGTTTCCTCAAATACTGCGCCATGACGGCCACCAATCTTTTTGGAGCCCGAACTCTCATTCTACTGCCTTCAGTGTGTAGCCATGACAAAAGGTCAACGCAATGATTCACCTATGGCAAGCTTGGTGCTAGATTCTCGTTGGAAACGGCCCTGGGTCTCGGAGATGGCCAAGCCTCCACCACAGTTCTCAGTCAAGGAGAGAGAACACAAGGACCTGTGAACTGTTTGTCTCTGTGGCAGCGTTCAGAAGAAGAGCCACTGTACGCTCAAACCAGGCCCAAGTCACCGTACTTTTGAACAACCGCGGCCGGCGGCCACTGCTTCTCCACCTCTGCATTGTCAGGCTTTTCCGTTGAACCACAAGAACGGTGGCCTACCGCTTGTTCTGGGCCATTTCATCTTCAAGCCGGCTGTCCTGCACGGCTGACCTTTTGTCTTCGGAAGCTCAGACGCATTGACAACGCACTTGGAAAGCTTCCCAGGCAACTAGCTATAACAGAACCGTCAGTCTCTTGTGTGAATTTGGCGGCCAGTATTCTCCACATCTGCTCTGTAAGGCTTGCCAGTGGAAGAACCAGACAGGCCACTTCCCTCCACAGACTCCTCCACAATCTCGTTAACAATCACGGGCACATTCTGGCCATCCTCTTGATGAAAACGCAGGCCACTTTCGGCTCAAAACACCGCAGTCTTTGACCAGTCAGTTCATGGCCGGCCAAGAAGCAGAAAGAGCAACAAAGGAAAGCAACACATCAATGACAAAAACTGCCATTACAAAACAACATTTGTTCACTCTGCGTCGCTTTGGTGTGCCCGACCGTGGCCGAGACCGTCCATGCGCTGGTTTCATACACATTCAGCCATGATGATCATTATGAAATAACAAGGTTACCAGCAAGCGTTAAGACAGGACAAAGAGACCACTCACCAATGACTGTGGACCCTTCCGGCACTTCACTAAGTCCTCAATCTTGGTATCCGAGCACAGTTCACCAGCCGCCTGTCTTGAGCTGTCACCGTGTCCCAACACGCCGCCAAAGCCAAGTCACCAAAAACAAGCCCAAGTAAAAATTTCCATGAAGGAGTCCAAACCAGGTACGCAATTGATCCGGCAGTTCGTCTACGTTGCCAAAGCGAGTCAAGCGAAGTAAACTGATGTAAGCCAGCGACACCACCGCACAAAATGATAAGACCACCATCCTCCTTGAGACAAGAAACAACAAACACACGATCAACGTAATGGCTGGTGACATAAACGACCATATCATATACATTGCACAAGGCCATAGCATCACAGCATGATCCAGGAAGCAATGGCGTCGCACAATGATCCACGCAGCAATGTCCTTGCCATAGCATCCACAACGAACGTCATTAGCCTGAACACACTCATCAATGCAGCAACAGGCTCTCCGCAGTCGCCCTCCGGACATAGCCGAAATGCCGCATATACCACACAGAATTTTATAAAGCGCTCGTTTTACCTGGGTCGTTTCTTCACGTCTTCAGCATAGACAACCTTTTAACAACATAAAAAAGCAATATTTATGACATATCATATATATATAATAATATGGGAACGATAGCGACCAATCAACCCTTATTAGTTCCTTTTACCGTGCAAGACATAATATGACTAATCGACAAGTGCACTGCCAGGAGTGCCCGTCATGAAAAAAATAAAACAATCTCTCTCCCAGTGGCCATAGATTCTCCAAGTCTCATCCTCACTCCCCTCGGGCCCCGGCCGCCCATCGCGCTTTCGCACCGGTGGAACGTCGTCCGCATCCGCTCGGTGGTGCGGGGGGGGGACCCGCCCTCGCCCTGGTCGACCGGGGGGGCATCCGGAGGAGTCGCTGACATCGTCCAGTCCGGGAATGGTCTTGAAATAGAAGTCGGAACTGGAAGTTCCACTGGAACTGCCTGAGATGGCGGACGGGTCTACCAGTGGACGCTGCCTTCGTTTTTGGCACACGAGAAAGAATGACATGCAAAAAGATGAGAACGGTTGTTCTTGTTGAAGAAGAGGAAGACTAATTTGGCAATCATTTTGGGGTTCCTTGGAAAACAAGTCAAAGTCAAGGAACATTTGCCCCAACAGGAGCTTAGTGGACCCTCCGTGGAGGCTATGTGACTTGTGGACTTCCCAAGAGCTTCACCCAATTACAGGGCTATAAGCCTTGGGATTGCATGGGAGATGGTCAAAGTGTCTCAAGTTCTGGGGTTCGTGGCATTGCTAGGACCTCTTCCCCTACCATGACCAGAGCTGAACAACCCTCCAAAGAAGAGGCCCTGTCCCTGACTCATCTTGGACTTCTTTGATCCTCCCCCCGTGCTCTCCCAGAACAGTCCTGCAAAACACGACACCCCGACACCCTGACTCGGACCACCACCATTCCCAGAAAGCTCTCCTTTGGAAGAAAGCTTCCAGAACTTCCTCTCGCCGCCTCTTCTCTGGGAGACTCAGTCAGTACAGCCCTGAGCCCCGCAGATGGCCCTGCCGTCCCGTGCTCCATGGGCGATCACTCCCGGCCCGCTGAGCCACCACTGCGGGTGCCACGGGTCAGTCGGACCTCGTTTGACCGGAGTTGATCATACAAAAGCACCACTCAATGAGGTAAATCGACCAAGTGTTACTGTGGGTCTTTGAACCTGGAAGTGGAAATGCACAGGGTTCAGAAGTGGAAAGCATGCAGTTTCTTCACCCAGACACTCCATGTATGGCATAAGCCCACCAAACGTGCGATCGAAGAAGCCACGCACAGAAGCGACTGCTTCGATGCCTGGATTTTGTGGTGTCGAACATTATATCTTTTGACGCTACCGAAGCGTTGGGCTTTCCTCGCGACGCGTTGAAAAGGACTTGGATTCAACGACCAATCCTGGACCAATCATGACCCAAATGCAGGATTTCGGGTCAAGGTTCTGCCAGCAACTTCGGGTCGGGGTCTCCAATACACTAGCCTACTCTACCTGTGGATGTCGAATGAACACCCCTTGGAAAGGTGCAGGTTTCTCCATGGTGACGAAGCGAAGGAGAATGTGAAACGAGAGAAGGGTCATCAGGACTCATTTTGGCCATCAATATGTTCAAATAGTGAGCCGTCAGAGTATCTATGTTTTTCTCAAACCCATCTGCATGTTCACGCCCGCTCAGAGCAACTCGAAGTGGGGCCCCCGTTGCTCCTCCTCCATCTCAACAATTTGAAGCAGCGCTACAGGGTCTAACAAATTGCAAACAGCTGATCACATAAAACACCTCCCTTCTCCAGAATGCTGTTACATCTACAGTCCTGGCAGGGGAGTTTGTTATCAAACAGTCCACACATTAGACTGACTGTTGGTGAATAGACCAATGCAAACCTCAAATACCATTCTGCACACGAGAGGTTTTCTTGGATCAGCAGCCTACAAACCCCGCACGGCACGCCGCGGACCGCGCATCTCCTTGGGCGTAAAGGTCTCGGAGTCATGCTGCGCAGCCACGCGGCTCAAAGCCGTGCGGACCGCGGTCACGACAGAGGGTGGCACCGCCAGATCCTGGTGGCAAGAACCAGTGAAGAGGATCTGCCCAGAGCATCCAAGAGCTACACAAGCATCATCATCATCATCAGCAGCAGCAGCATCATCATCCTCGTCATCATCATCATCATCGTCGTCATCATCATCATCATCGTCATCATCATCATCTTCTTCATCTTAATCTTCATCCTCGTCATCCTCATCCTCATCCTCATCCTCATCCTCATCATCATCGTCGTCGTCGTCGTCATCGTCATCCTCATCATCATCTGTATATGAAAAACCCGGCATGGACCTGCTACTCGTTGGAACACCTGGATTCTTCATGTTGAACTCCCGGTGTGGCGTGGCTTTGTGCTTTTCTCGGTCGCCGTGTGACAAGGTCGGGGCGACAAGCGTTCACTGCTTAAAGCAGAACTAATTATTGTCCCCCAAGGCCCAAGACAGCATATTGGGCAGGCTCGATAAAAAAAACATGCTCTGGCGACGCCACCATTTCAGTGAATTAGCAGTGTACAGCAGTCCAAACATCTCAGATCTCTTCTGTGGTAGTTTTGCTTCAACCAGCCACTCGGACCGGCCTTGAACACAGAGGGTTCAAGAATGTTTGAGAGTGAATTCGACCTATATTTGAATGCCCAGACTTTCCATGTATGGAACATCTACCTACATTGGCCCCTGAAACCAATCCAATGTAGGACCATTTTACACATGGGAGCGATGAAGAAATCCGTGTCAGGTTACCGACGGTCACACGATTAATCGCACATCGCCCGTCACGTTTCTCGGCCTGGGGCACCTTGTCCATGCCATCAGAGGCGAGGCCCCTGGACAGAACCTGATGAAAGGGTCGACAGAGCTACCAAGAGAGGTTATAAGTGACGCTCTAGGACCCTGCCAAGAGAGGTTAAGTGACCTTATAGGACCTTACTGGGGTACCCAACTGGGATAGGCTAGTTCGGGTCCTTCAACCTCTGTTGGTGCTGAGGTACTTATAGTTGGCAATATTGTATACTTCGGAGACTTGGGGAGTTTTCAGCCATTTTCAGGCCTGCTAAGCCCACGGTTGAGCTCTGCTCTTCTTCACAGCTTCACTCTCTCCACACCCACCACTGCCCAAAGCCACTCACAAATTGACTCACCAATCCTGGTGAAAACAAATGCCCGGGCTCTCTTTCGAAATCAACGCAGTGTCGAACCCAGAGACCAGCCACTCATTCACCTTCATCCGACCAAACCGGTCCGCTCGGAGAGCAGCCCGTGATGAGAGGTGTTCAGTACCGGGCACTCCGCACCTCGCGCTGTTCACTCTTATTTGGCACTTCTCAGCTCAAGCCGTTCATGTTTCGGCTGCTCGACTGCTCGACTCGTTTCATCTCCGCGTTCGGTTTCGACGAATGGAGCCGTTGCCGGAAGGTTTGGGGATCCAAAGTAGAAGGTTTGGAGCCGTTGCCGGTCGCGTTTCCTTGGTATCCGAAGTCCTGGTGCTCCTGGTGCTATGTGGATCCATTGTCAATACCCTCATCGCCACTCATCGCGCCTTCTTCTCGAAGAGGGTGTCTGGTGTAAAGGCCTTGGCCAGGACCTCAGCTGAGCTTTTTGCAGGTCTACTCAGAGTTCGAGACTATACTCGACTAGATGGGAGATTCCTTGGGCACGAGGGGGGGGGGACCTTCTTCTTCGAACTCCACTGCGGTGAGTCCATGTCGACCACAGCCCGAACACACAGCCTATCGACCACATCCTTTACACACGCGGCTTTCCACTTCATATTCCTTGCGATCGGGCTTAAGTCGTAGCTCCACAAAAGGTATGACTGGACCCTCCTGGCACCCGCATTAGACACCTAACACCTTCGACACGAAAGCACTTGGAGCCCTCTGATAGTTCTTCCAAAGATCTTTTCACCACATATGGCCTCGACGAGTCGTGCTGCACCACTGGCGGAGATCTGGGAGCCGGACCTGTGTTGTAATACCCATATCCATATTCAAAGATAACCTCATATACAATTTGGATATATAGATTGAACCATATCCAATTGGATATATATATATATCTGGATATACAGGATATCATATATATCCGAATCCAAATCAAACCATCCATATCATTCCATTTCCAAATATGTCCAAATATATCAAATTTACTTTGTAGAACACATGGATTTATGGACCAAATCCAGTTCTTCCGTGCATAAACATATCCAGTTCTTGCGTTCTCGAACCCTGGGAGATTCCGAGATCGAAATTGGGGAGATGGCGTTCATCACACCTCCCAAACAAAGCACGTGGCCTATCCGAAAACAAATCTGGGCCGGTTGGGAGTCCGACATCGCATGCCATGCGATCCATATGACTTCGTCACCCTAGGTCTCCTCTAGAACATGAGAAACTCGGATTTCCAAGTCAAGATAGTGTCAGAAAATAATCCATCTACGGATGAGGAGAGAAAAAACAACTCAAACCCGTGGTCAGCAACCAGAACTGCAGGGATCGGAGGTCACAGTGAAAAATCGTTCTAGAGACCAACGTGACCGCACAGGAGGCACTCAACAAAATCCTTCACCCACCATTCACCATCCCCGAATCCCCTTCAATATCAAACAAACATAGCGGCAGGACCATGCGCCCATCGTCCCATTGAACACCGACCAGACCATCCCCTTCAACTCTTCAAATGATCAACCACACATAGCGCCATAGATCTCGCCCACCACTCCTCGTCCAACGCACTACGCAACCGACACGGCACGGTCGTCGCACTCGTCGTTGCTGTCCCATCCAGTCCCAGCCACACGTATGAGGCCCGATAGATGGTAGTGCGCCATCTGTTCCATGCGACCCCCTGGCTCACGAGCCGCGCGGTTCGTCGCGAGCTTGCGGCCCGGCGGCCCAGGCCGATGAAAGCGGGTGGTTCCTTTGGAAGCAACAAAACGAGGGAACAGAAAACGGGAGGTTTTGGTTGACGGATCTGGTCATGTTCCCCGTCAGGCCCCATACGGAGGCCCCATTTGATTCATGATAAATTCAGGTTTCATTTCTTGGTGTTTTGCCATGAACATCCAGGACACCAGGCTAGTATTCGGGTCATGATGTTCACATGGTGAAAAAAGAACACAAGCGGAGGAACCACACTGTATCTATGTCCGGACTCTGTTACAGGGTGGAGATTTGACATTCCATTGATGGATATGGATTTATGGGGCTGCGCAAGCGGATACCTAACTGGATGCTAATGTTCATGCTGCAATGGCAATGCCGGAAGTACTTTCTGTTAAAATCAAGTTGCGTCATATGTTTGAAGGCTCATGATGTATCAAATCATCTAGCTCACACACGTAAATCATGTCCCCAAATCCTGATCACTGCAACATATTAAAACACTAATCACTAAGCAAAATCATGCAACACTTTAGGGCCTCTAGCTTTGACCCGTACCTAAGGAGATAAGGGTGACCCAGTGACCTATACATCCTCATTTATCCAATGGCGATATTGATTGACCTACTCTTCCTAATTAATGTATTCCAAGCAAGTGTGCATGTTGGCCGTTTCATAAAGAAACTGCGCGACATCTACAACATGTTGACGCCCCGTCTTCCCTCTTGATTTGAAAGGACCGTGCTCAAGGCAAACCTGTAGGCCCAACTCGTGAACTACAGGCATGGCACTGGTAGCGGGACTGTTTTGGCGTGGCGGTCACCCTGTACCACAAAGCCACTCACGAATAGGTTAAGTTGCTATAGCTCTATGAAGTGTCAGTTTCAAACCTGCTCGCCAAAGTCATGGTTCTAGCAAAGCAGCAAAGTAGCGTTTGACTCTGCTTTCAGGATTTGATGCTGATTGAAGTTGTTGATCTCCTTCTAAGGGGTTGTGAGGTCATTTTGATGAGTTTTGTGGGCTGAGTTTGCTTGAAGCTTTGCAAGCAGAACGAACATATCGTAAAAAAGTCTAGCCTGAGTCGCAAATACCATCAAAGATTATCGGAGTGGAACTGTGGTCTGAACTACTCAACATGATGTATCCACCAAGCCATCAAAAAGCGCTAATCATCAGGATGAAAGCCTCCTACCCTCGCCGTGAATCGTCTCTAGACGCTGTGATTGAGCTATGTTGGGATTGTACCAATTACAACTTGCAACAACTCTGGCAAGGAAGCATTGTTTTTGTCAAGGTCAATTGTTTTGTAATTTTTCGAGGTGCTTTCCCAGAACTCTCGAGAACCAAACTACATCAAACTACCATACCTGGATCTTCCAGCTATGCATCATCTCTGCCTTTTGGCTGGTTTTGAAACTGAGAAAGGCAAACATTCTCCATAGTAGGACGATCCAGGTGTATACAGTACATTTATATATATATATGTATATATATATGTATCACATAACGCATCCAGGATGTAGCGAAGCATGTCAACGCAAATTAAGAGCACCCGGCGGGAAGCACTGCTGCTAGATTCATCTCAGAGTTTTCTCTATTCCATTCCATCCAGGAATCATTGAATCATTGAATCTGAGTTATACATATTTATATACCCTCTTCAGGACCCATACCAAACATTTCGAGGAGCAACCCTCCAATCCGTGGATGTCCCGTTTCGCGGTCATTGACCACCGTTGCCAGCGACCGAAGAACATACAATTAAGTTATATATATAATATATATGTATTATATATATATATATTTAAAAACTATAATTCTTGTTTCTAATAGCTTCTTGTTACTAGAAGTAAGGCCAGGAGCCCCTAGTAGCGTCCTTGTTCCTGTAGCGATGCCCTTTGCTCCTAGTAGCGTTGCGGGATCACGTCTCCGAAACGACCTGAAACTCGGGCTCCGCTCGGCCGCCCACCAAAAGGGCGCAGAAAACCCCGGCGAAAGTGCACACGAGCTGCAAACATGGAGTCCTTCCGTCTTTTCACAGAAAAAAAAAAACATTCAAGGCGTAGGCAAGCAGTTCTTCTTTGTTCCATGTCTCCATGTCAGTTCCTTTCAGCTTCTGATCGAGATCTTGCCCAATCAAGCCAGGAGTCGCATGTTCACACCTGTGTAAATCACGCTCCACCAGAGTCCACCAGGAACCAAGTCGAAGCATGTTCCAAACACCTGTAGGACTCCGGACTCTTCATTGCAACCGATGCAGAACCTGCGTAAAAGGACCTGCATGCATGCTTTCGCTGTTGTCACCTCACCTGATAACCCAAATCACCAAAAACAAAAGGCTTTCAGTCGATTCATGTAGACTACACTTTGGACTATTCTGCCTGCGCCAGAAAGACCACCCCCTGCGCCCCACAGCCTGGGCGGCCGTCCTCTGCAGTGCGTAGCAAGAACTGCCTCGCGACGGTGGTGGAAGCGTCTGGCAGACCCTGAGGTGGTGGAAGCGTCCCCGTCCCACCTCAGACCCACCAGTCACCCCAGTCAGTCGTGGAGGTTTACTTGGGTCGGTTAGGGTGCTGACTCCCTCGGCTTCCCCAAACATCATGCATGAGGTGATGAAAACCTTTTTCCACCCACTTGGATTTGAGCGGGGTGTCCAAAAAGTTAAAGCTTACCCACTGACTGGGTGGGGGGGGGGGGAAAGTAGTTTTCAAGCTGCCCAGACGCTCATGGACCCTCCTAAGTAGGGGCCGGACCCTCCTAAGTGGGGGCCGGACCCTCAAATCCCTAGGGTTTTGAGGGACCAGGAGCTGTTTGGAGCGTCTGGGTGGGAAGAATACAACTTTGAACGTGTATTCCTGGATTTGCTTCAGAAGCCGGGAAAATCATACACATTCCCTAAAGATTAACAAATTCACCAACAGGGAACCAACACCTATAAGCAAAAAGGCTTTTGAGGTCAGCCTGCAAAATATACGAGACTTGACCCCACGGAAGTGGGATCGAATCAACAGAAGTCTGATCAATTCATGCCAAGAGCGCCACAATGGACTCCGCGTCGACGTATGAACCCAGAACTAGAATATCCATGGGACTGGAATAGTTACTGCCCAGACGCTCCAAACAGCTCCTGCCTTCAAAACCCTGGGGATTTGAGGGTCCGGCCCCCACTTAGGAGGGTCCGGCCCCTACTTAGGAGGGTCCATGAGCGTCTGGGTGGAGAACATTCCCTCACCGAAACTCTTGAATTCGGACGATGTTGGGGTCATCGTCCGCACCAACCGATGCTGGGGTCTTCGTCTTCCGTGTGAGAAGCGGACAGGAGAAGGAGGTGCGAGGTTGGGGGCGCAAACAGGAGGACAGAGCTGAGTCTGAATCGAAGACTATATATACTGGGGTGACGTGGAATGGCAGCCTGCAGGATGCCTATTGAGGATTCTTCTGACGCCTAAGGTATCCTAAGGTCTATCATATCAGGACGTGTGCGTTTCCGAAAATCCAAGATCTGAAAAGTTGATGAGATTCGTTTCAGCTTCAGTGACCTGGATGAGCAAAACGTGATGCTGGAGCAGGAGCTGTGATGCTGAAGTTGGCGAGATAAGGCGAGAGAGAGATACACTTCCGGCTGGAACTGATGATTGTCGGGCACGATGCACAGCGAAACAAAGTCACCAAGTATGGCGCTCTTCAAAGCAGTAGCCACGGCCAATGCCATCTTCAAAAGCGCAAGGGAAGCCCCTCTGCGCACCTCGTGCACTGAAAACGAAGGATTGGAGGTCCAGGAGAAGATCTTCGAGGAGGATGCGACGGCAGGAGGATGCGACGGCGCCTAGTCGCCGAGAGCCAATGGCATCAAACGGCTGCCAGTCTCCAATAGAGGTCCAGGACCTCAGGACGTCCTTCTTCCGGCCACAGTTGAGGTCTCCTCTCTTTTGGCCGGGTGCCAGGAACCACGGTGCCATATCTGAAGATCCACCACCTGGCCCATGCATCTGGAAATCCACCCACCCCACACATACCTCTACAGCGACTTCGTCGCACCTCCGAAGGTACCCTCCTGGCACCCGGGCCCCGGTCGTCCCACCGAAGCGAAACGAAGGTACGACTGGAGGCCAAACGGGATACTCTTCAGTGTGAATGGGGATCCCAACCCTCGCCGCTGCGACGCGGCAGAGGGCCCCGGGAACCGGTCGGCCCACTGGATCCACGGGGCTACAAGTAGTCAGAGAGCCCACCAGAGGTCAGTAGATCGTCCGAAGTTCTCACCACAATCCCCCGGAACCCCCAAACCCAGATGGAGCTTCCAAAAGAGGTCATATGATGTAATTGACCATTAAAAGTACGTAAGAGATAGCACCCTATACAAATCCCATAGTCTAAAGGGTTCCTCAACACCTCGGGTGCTTGTTCATGCTGAAATTCGACCCGTTGCAGTCCGACGGCATCACCCATCCCATGGGCGGACCTGCAAGCTGAGGCATCACTGACCTGCCAACGCAGCCAATATGTGCAAAAAGATGGATGGATGTCAATGAGTTGAAGCACCTGACCTGATTTTGGAGATTGGAATGAAAGAAAACTGTCAACAATACTTCGCATCAAGAAAGCCACCATCCAAAAAAATATGGCAAAAGATGTCAAAAGTCTTCAAGATATTGCGCTGGTTCAAAATGTAAGACCCTAGGGACCCGCCAGACCCACAATTTTGGTATTGTTGCCCACTTGCCAAGCAGTTCTCGGGTGTGCTGGATTTGTTGAAAGGAACTTCTCACGTGGAAACACCACCACAACTTCACACAGTCCCAAAGACGGTGCTCAGGCAACCTTTTGCGTTGAACAAGCACTTGGAGCGTTGCAACAAAAACTGCAAAGACTGTTGATTGGAGCCATTCTCAACATGACCGACCATATGATTATAGCATATTATAAGCTACAATCGGCTTGCTTCAGGGTGCCGATTTCAGACCTCCATGTCACCATGTCCATGCTTCGCCGAGCCATCAATCAACGTCATGCCACGGCTTGAAGACACACACACACACACACACTTAACCAACAGTCCACCATGTCTATTCCACTCGAACCAAATAAGCCAGCCATGTCGTCTCTCTTCCCCAACAAAAACAACGGTACGAACAAGCCGGCCGTACGTGTGTGAGACAATGACGACGCAGGACTCCGAACCATGTTGACTGCCCCTCTTAGAGATCACCATCGCCAGGATTTGTCATGTGCGTCCATGTGTGGGGGCCCGTGGAATCTCCGTCCGTGCGCCCATCGCTGCATCGAAGAAAAAGTCCCCTCTGCACCAAGAGGAAACACCTCGGTCGATGTCGCGCCTCTGCCTTGACGAAGCTGTAGGCCAGGTTAAAGATGTGTTGGTCCAAGACCTAAGGAGAGAACATGTTGGCAACAAATATTAGGGCTCAAGAAGACAGGCAACGGTGTAAAAGAACAGCCCTCCCCCTTCTTCGGTTTATATCAATATCTTGGGTCTATCCTATTACCAGGAACAGTGGATGAGGATGGTTCAGTCGCAGGCCTTTCTCTAACATAGTGATTTGCTTGTTGACCGGCTGTTACAGGTATGTTCGGGCAGACCCATGGCCGATGGCCCCCATGGCCGATGTGAAGGGGTGCACCTTCACCACCCCTTTGGCGACGCCGTCAGTTCGGCGTCAGTTCGGCGAAGGTCGTCCGTCGTTGTGCACCGGCGGAGGTCCGGTTCGCATCAGTTGGTGTGTCCTTGAAAAAGAAGGGTGTATAGCAGTCCATGTGGTTGCACTTGCAGGTGTAGAAGAAAGTAAGGTTCACCTCACTGCGAATAGAATGTGACAGGCTATCAGTCATGTAGTAATATGCTGCCAATAGAGCCACCCCCCCATAACAAATAAACAACACACACAAAACTGACGAAAGGAAGACAACCCCTTGGCTTTGAGGTTCAGTACTAAGCTCGACAGGTAGCCCAGTACGGCTGGGTCAAGCGTGAACTCAGCTGCCCAAGTATTGACAATTCACTTCCATGAGCCACTAGGACCCCCACTGGATCGGGGTACCACTCTAGTCTAGGTCACCAGGGACACTATATATAACCCTCGCTCGGTCTCTATGGTCTTAGTGACCAGCAACATCGTGGTTTGCCATGCCATCAATGATGATTAGTGCGATGACTTTGCACACGTACATGATCGAAGTCCCACGTTCGCGCTTGAGCACTTGAGGCTGGTCAAATGTAGTACATGCAGAATTGGCGCGGATGGAGATGGAACATCAACGTAAAGTGCTGATCCATAAAACCCACTTCATGGTAGTAATCAGTCTAATGGCACCAGTGAGTCTGACGAGAAAAACCTGACCACTCACTCGCACTCACTTGGCATATCAGCCCGCCTCAGCTCAGCCTGCTTGGTATCAACCTGACCCATACCCAAACACTCCATGCATGGAATATGTTACCTACATTGACCCCTGAAACCAACCCGATATAGGTCTATTAAATGTCCATACATGGAGTGCCCCTGGGTCTTTCAAAGTTGAATCAGGTTGAATGTTCCTGAACATTCAAAAGAGACACTTCATTGGCAGGGTTCGTGTTATTGGGAAGCCACATATCTCCTGCCAAAAAGAAACAACATACTTACTCTATAGGAACGCACATTCCCGCAGCGTTGTGCTGCTCTGCTTCGAGCTTTCTGTTCTTTTATGGCTGGGTGGTTGCATGGCCCGCCGCATGGCGTCCAAGGGGCCGTGGTTTCGGCTTTCTTCCGGCGCTCTAAACCTGCTTGGGCTGGAAGTGCCGGAAGGCGGAAGGGTCCAGGACATGTGATGATGATCGAGTGGCGGGAAGCTTAATGTTGATATTTAGTATAAGTTCCCTTGCAAGACCATTAAAAATCAATGGTTGACCTGGTAGTCTAAAGTCTAAAGACCTTAGTAAAACAATGGTTGTTTGCTAAAAACCATTAGATCAATGGTAGTTGGAATCCTAGGGATATAACAATATGATGTAACATGGCAAGGTTTCATAAGTTCAACAAACAGGTGCTCATCCAGGGAAAAGGAGCGTCCTCGCCACACCAGAAACGAGCTGTGGTCAAAACACCTGTTTAGACCGAATACCTCCAAAACACAAAGTAACACACAAAGTTGGAATGTGGGAACCGATGTCCAGCATAGCTCCAGCAGCGGCCGACTCTAGCACATGATTTTTTTGGACCCTCAGTGATTGAAACGTTTGGGGGTTCCTGAACATCACAAGCCCCGCGTGGCACTGCAACACGTTAACTTGCAGGTCTTTCAACATTGTATGACATTATCTGCACTAACGATATAACCGCATAAATCCTTGTCCTTGTATCCGTTGGTAAACTCATTGAATGACCCACTCCCATTCCCCGCCTCCCCGCCTCCTCCCCGCTCACTAATCCCTCGCATGAATCTCGGCCTGTGGTGGCCATCGCCTCGTAGAAGGCAACGTCTTTCACAGCCACACGTGCAGCGCCCCAGGCACAGTTCGCCAACATCCTTGAAAGAAGGCGGCAAAGCCAAGAAGCCGGGAAGACAATTAAGACACATACAGAAACATGTCCACATAACCCAGGGATTCACCCATAAGGAAGTATGAAATCATCCTTGTGAAATCATCCTTCGCAAAAGCAAACTGTTATATAATACATACCCGTTGTTTTTTGGGAAAAGCGCCCCAACATCAAAGAAAAACAAAAAGGCCCTGAGACGTCCAGAAAACTGTGACACGTGCACAGTTTCGTGCGGAAACATGGCTCATGTGGTTTCCCCCACGACGACCCTAGGAAGGGGCCTGAAATTAGGTCATTTCCCCGACTGCGCAGCGAAGGGTTCCCGTTTAACTCTGGGGTCGACTGTGGGGGTATAGAGCCCTTGTTCGCGAGTCGTTGTCGTAGCGACCGCAATCCGTCCGCAACCGTTCGCGGGTGGGGCTATATGGCGCTGACATTGGGCGAAGCTTTTTGGAGCGGGCTTTGGATGGAAGCATGACGTGTCAGGTTCGTGCGAAATAGGGAGGAAAGTGTGGAAACGTGAGAGGACGAAGTATGGAGGATGAATTCACAGGAATTCACTACACAGGCGCTGCGTTTTGTGAGATCCGCAGTTGTCTGCGCGGTCAGATCGAGATTGGCGTTTAAAGCTGTTGTTTTTTTGGGGGGGGGTTGGATGTTGCTGTTACATCGGCATTTGTGTTTCAGGCTGCTGCTTCGAAGCTGTGTTTTCGATACAAATCTCAGCTAAAATGTCGATCTCGGTGGCTCGGAGTGTGCTCAGAACGTGTCCAAATCATTCCAAACGTGTGGTGTGGTGCAAACTTTGCTGAATCTATGAAGGTATGATATTGTCACATTTCGTGGCAGGCGCAGTACTTTGTGCGGGCTCCATGAGGGTTTGTCGGTCTTGCTCTTGTAGTAGAGCACTTCCTCGGCCTTGTGAGATTCCAACTCAGGTCCTGCTTGGGCCTGGACCGGATGCTTTTGCTCAGAGGTGAGGTTGGAGCGACGCAACAGTAGCCATCCTGCTATACCAGAGGGGATCTTTATTCCATGCTTCTCAAGCTCTGAGGAGTTCCCGGTGCTCGGAACAGTAGGCCAGCAGGTCAGATCTGCGGGACAACTGGTAAAACAAGCGTTCAAGCGCACGGGGCAACTCAAGTCTGTGGTCATACTTGAAGCATTGGTCAAGGGCCTTGAGGATCTGGTCGAATCCATCACTGGCGTCAACCGGCTTGTCCACCATGTGCTCCGCACTGGAGGTTGCTTGCGTTGCCCCTGCACGCTTGTCCTGCAAACATGCTCTCCATGACTTGGTGTTCCCTTGGCCAGTGGTGCACCAGTGCAAATCCATGACTTGGTCGAGATTTCCAATGGATGGCTGTTGCCACTTCTGATAGGTCTCATTGCTTCCCAGCTCACCACGCCGTTCGACCAGTAGATGTGCATGCTGTCCAACAGGAAACTGCTGGGGGGAAGGGCCTCCTTCAGGACATGATCTGAAAGGAGCCCTTCCAAACACAAGTTGAATCCCGCAGCAACTTCCTTCTTGGCGAAAGACGCCTTGGACAACAATCTTTGAGACGCAACAAGGTCGTCCCAAACAGTGAACACATCTGCATCGCTCTGCTCATCAAAGCCATCAACGTCTGCTGAAGCGATGTCTCTAAATATGTGACGGTATGTCTCCAAGCCAGCCTTTTTTTGACCACATTTCGACAATACAATCACGGACGCATGGCCGAAGAGCCTTTGAGAGACAAAGCGCCACGGATGGAATCCAAGTCACTGATCATCCATCTCAATATTGGCATCTCAATAATGTGGGGGCGCTTTCCAACTCCACTGGGAAACCCACTTGAAGGTTTTGCGACCACAGCTGTCTGAGGACTGCACGCGCGATTGCTGTAAATCCTCCTCAAGCCTTCTCTATTTGCGAGTGCTGTGCAAGGCACAGCGGGTGCCACATTACGTCACACCAGCGAAACTCCAACTCTTTTAGGCAGACGTACCACAATGACACCTTTTTGGAAGTGTCAGGTTGAAGCAAATTGCCCCCTGTACATTCATCGTTGTACAGGATGAGATTGAATTTTCCAAACAGGATTGAACCAGTTGTGAAAAAGTTGCGACACGACTTTGCGCAGGTCCGCCATGTAGAACACCACTGGTTCCTCCTCCTTCACCCCTGCCACCTCCACTGAGAATAGAACGTCAGGAGATATGTTTGCAACCAAGCGTTTCCATTCCATGTCACCGACCTGTGCGTCAGGCTAAGCTCTGGCCGCAGCGTTGTAAATCTTTCTTCTAGACTTATCACCAGCAACTGATGGAAGTGCAACGAACCATGAGGTTGCGAGCATGGTGGAGGTGAGCGTCGCTGTGACATTGGGATTGCCATGTGAGCGGGTGTTGGTTGGAGGGCTGGAATCGTGAAACCGCTTGGCAGCGGTGCTTGATGTGTGCTCTCCGACGGGCTGCCCGCTTGACTTTTGGAGGGTGTCTCGTACGAAATGCTGGTTTTGGAGACTTTGACATGTAACTTTTTGTGACTTGTTGAAGATGTCTTGTGCGAAATGCGCGTTTTGCAGACTTGAAGTGTGAGTTGTTGAGGAAGTCTTGCGCGAACGCTCGTTTTGGAGACTTTGACATCTGACTTTGCGAAACGCCAGTTTTGGAGACGTGACGGTTGACTTGTGGAGACTTTAGTATCAAAGTCCCCCACAAGAGTGTCCCGCAAGAGTGTCCTGCAAGTTCCCACAAGTGCCGACGAGAGTGTCCGACAACAGTGTCCCACAAGTGTCCACAAGAGCGTCTTACAAGAGTGTCTTACAATGTCTTACAAGAGTGTTCCGTCATAGAGACAGTCATACAAGAGTGTCCGGCAAGAGTGTTGGACAAGAGTGCCATACAAGAGTGAGAAAACTTTTGGCCTTTAGCTCAAGCCGGCTGCTATACCAGTCTTATGGTGAATTCACACCCGTGACTCAACGTGACTCTGGTTTCGCTTGCTTTGTACATGGTCTCTTGTGTCCTGTACATCTTTCATTCTAGCCATTTCCGGCTCTCAGTTCTTCTTCTTCATGATTCTGTATTACACTGTGCTTCTGTTCGCGCCTCATCCTTCTCCATTTCTGCTTTGCCAACTTCGTAATCTCTGACTCTGCCGTGGGCTCTGTCGAACATTCGCCTTCCTTCAGATGGCCCTGATGTAATTGGTGTTCATGTCCTTGGTCAATGAATCGACCAGCATGCTGCTTGTGTCGATCCAACGGATCTGGTCGGGATGGTCCGCAGTGATCTCTTCCGACTCTTCTCCATCCTTTTCCCAAATCGGCTGTCGAAGAGGTGCTAGATCCACTGACAATCTTTTGTCCGAAGTCTTTTGCCACTTGGCCAACCACAAATGTTCTCGCAAGGACTTGCAGTCTGTCAGCCATAGGTGTCTCATGAACCTTCGACTGGATTCCTCCCAATGTCTGAGGCCCAGTTTATTGCAGCAATCTGCCATCATAGCTCTGATCTTGAATCCTTCACTCTTCCACTCCTGAAGTCATCGCGTAGGATTCTGCCTGCAGCGTGGAGCTGCATACACGCTTTATTGTGGTAGATGACCATCCAATTGGATAGATCTTCGTGACAATTTTGCTTGGGTCATCGACAAATGTCTTCTACCAACAGCGTTATTCTCGCTCTTTGAGATCTGTAGGGTTCAAGCTTACCCTTCACAATCTGCTGTTCATTTGACCATGAGGCATCACTGACTGTGCATAGAATACAGTCTTTCCATTTGATGGCTCCTGCTTTGAAATGCAGTCCATGATTGAGAATTCTGGCGCGAGCTGCGGCCTGAGGACAGGCCACTTGGCAGTACAAATGTAGTACGTGAAGGGGCTTCTGGGAGGTGCGGCCTCAGAACTGGCCACTTGGTAGTGCAAATGTAGTACGACAAGCAGCTTCTGGGAGCTGTAGAACTGGCAGCTTTTGTTGTACAAATGTAGTACGGGAAGAAGCTTCTGGGAGCTGTGGCCTCAGAAGTCTCCTACAAGAGTGTCAAAACATGTTTGGGCGTTTGTTTTCGAGCACGTGTTTTTGCATTCCGGTTCGTGGATTCCATGTTGATTTGTTCATCCTCTGTGATCCTGGATGCCTTCCTCTCCTCCATCTTCGGTCCTTTCGGTCCAGGGAAGTCCAGGGCCTGGGAACCCCCGTCTCTTGTCTAACTTGAGTAGGCAAACGATCGAAACATGACTTAGACCTCCAAAAGCTCCTTGTTCTAGCACCTTCTCAATCAATACCAGAATCTCCAATGATCTCTATACCAATGATTCCTGACACATGACATTGCCCCTTCACTTTCCAGCTTCGGCCGCGCCACTGTGAGTTCATCTTGAAGGCCAAGAGTTGTCCCGCCGCCGCAAGCCTCACCGACACCCCTTGCCTTGCCCCAGCTTGAACATCTTTGGGCGAGAAGTAGATACAATATATGTGGATGGTTGGTACCACCTTGCTACCAATTGTATTACAGTACGTCGAAACATAACTGCAATCAGCAATGATTTGTCCTAGTCACTATATATAGTCACAAGACACTCGAAGTGACCCACTGGCCACTGCACTAGTGTATCATCAAATCTGACCACAGTTTGAGCTTCCATCCTCCTGGTTTTTCAAAGTGACCTGATTCCCTGGTTTCCGGCCCTGTATTACTTAGGGATTCACCTGCTCGGGGTCTTCCCCGCCGTGTTCGCGTCTCTGCTTCAGCGCTCAGAGCGACAAATCAGATCGACAGGATGCCAAGTCCACGGGCTCTTTTGCTCCAACGCTGCCAAAAGTTACGACGAAACGACAGAAACATTGACCTGGTGCCTGGCGTCAGGCGTCATAGACCTGGAGCCTGGTGTTACAGTCAGTCTAAAATCCTAATATAGTACAACACTTAGTACGTAAAGAAGCTTAAAACTTCGAAACCTATGGCTAATACACTGGCTCAGTCTACACTCCTGCACCTGAGAAGTCTTGCTGAGCAGGACCATCATGGCAAAAGACATACAAGATTCCTCCTCCATCGCATAATCCCATCAAAAAAACATGGGACCCCCTGAAAGACAAGCATCCGAAAAGCCCTCAAAACCAGCTCGCCAACTCTGCTCCACTCTCCACACCACGCCGCAGCTTACCTGCACCCACAACCCGTACCCCACCCACTTCTTCGGTATAGAAGGCCCGGAGCCCCCAGCCCGGAGCCGAGCCGAGGTGCTCGTGGGCGAAGCGCTGCACCTCGTCCAGCGGGTGCAACTCCTCGGACAGGCCCAAGGCCCACAACGAGACCTGGCGCCAGCGCACAGCTCCGGCGCTCGCGCATGGCCGGGTCCAGAGCGCGTGAGGCCGGTTCTCCAATCAGTGCGGAAGGAGGTTCGGGGTCCGGCGGACGGGGGATTTTCCAACCTGTGCTGACTACTACTCACTAACATGGAAGCCCCTGTGTGTAAAGGAAAGCAGTCTTCCAAGGGACCATGCCATCTGCTTCCATGAAACTTGCAAGTCAGAGATAGTCAGAGTGTATTTGTTCTTTCCCCTTTGGCCATCGCTCATGGATTCGAGGACAGGTTGATGATTTCATAGTTGAGAGCATGGAGGTGGAGGGATATGGTTGCCCTACGATTGCCTGAGAACCTTAGTACTTGTAGATCCAATATGGATCAAGAATCCACATCTCCTCTTTTTGAGGGTGATGTGTTTGACACTTTTCTATAGGCACAAGGAGGGTCCGGTCGTACCTCCTATCCCAGAATTGGTTTCAGGCAAAATCTACAGGAAAGTGATGGCTATTGGAGTGAAAGCAAGGGTTTCCTGCAGTCTTTCCCTTAAACCAATTCATTGATCCATCTTGATCCTAAGAAGGTATGCGAATCCCTTTGGGTACACTCAAGATCCGGTGGAAGCCATAGTCCGGTCCGGTGCAAGCGCCGAGGGACCGAGGGCACCTTCTAACACGGTGACGTGACGGGACGTAGGGTCCAGGTATTCTACCTGGAACTAGCATGGAAGTATTCGGATCTCATGGTCTGTCCAAGGGCCCAGGCCATCTCCACTTCCAGTTCGGAGTGTACCTCCTGGAACGGATGGTCTTCAGCCTGGATGGTCTTCAAGTATATCTTTAAGTGAGTTTGTACTTCCATGTTGACCTTCCATGGGGTTTTCTTGCTACATCCGAACAACGGATGGACATCTTCGGGGACATGGCGACCATAGACTCACTCAATCTCACGTGGATTCCGTCTTTAGACTTGCCCAAACGCTCCGTTCACAGCCCGACTCCCGGTCCCTCCAAAACTTAGGAATTGGATGGAATTGGGTGAGAAACCCCAAACCCCTGACCCCCTCCGGATTCGGGGGCCAGTCTCGGGATCGCATCTGAGTGATTGGTGAATCGGCCCCGCCCAAAACGCGGCGCGGTGCTGAAGCGTCGCCAACAACCACCCGAACTGGGCGTTTTTGTTGGAAGGTGTCTGGATCTGGGTAGGGGGATCTGTTATGTTCCAAGCTGCGGCGGCTGGGGATCTTTAGAATGGCTCGGGTGACTTCCATCTTCTAAGATAGAATCGGAGCTCCGATTTCGCACGTGGGAATCGCGGAATCGCTAGGAGTGACGACTGGAATTCCTGAAATTGATTCCTCTCCAAGTTGCTGAGATGGAGTGGCATTCCTAGCAAAAGGACGGTCTCACCCGGACGATCGCATCCATCCAACCAACGTATATGATGGTCTCCAAACGGGTCTATAAACAGCTTCTCAACACTTGGCCACGGTCCACAAGATGTGCGAACAAATCTCGTCAAAACTCATAAACATATCAACATACTCTGCTGGTGGCAAACTATAGCCACCTGACACATGTAGGTCATTGTAGGTCTAGTCAGTCATCAGTCCAGGTAAAAGCTGTTCGAAACCACCAATCAGCTCCCCGTGGGCTTGGTAGCTCCTTGCTGGGAGGAACTGTTGTGAACTGGCCCATGTATGTGCTTCCGAATCTGCATAATCTTAAAATATTCCCCATCTGCGCAATCGGAGCCTCTGCCAAAATGGCCACACAGCGCCAGCTATGGGTCATGGCTTGACTATTGGCCGACCGGTTGACCACCTAAAACAAAGACTATGGGGGACGTCAACTACGGTAAAACCAGGCTGCACGTTTGGTTTTGACACAGCGTAATTAGATCACTGCAGCTTCACTTAGGCCTTTCAAATGCCTCAAGGTCGATCAAAGGTGCATCTTCCCCGATCTGTGACCCTGCTTCTTCCGTTGTTCGAGAGGTCTTCTTGCCTCCGATGCATCATCCTCATCATCTTCCTCTCGGCCAAGAGTCAAAGATTGATGCCTCACCCAAGGCGGCCTTCACCAGCTCTAGCATGAGCTTCGCCATCCCTCAAGCTGCGCCGTTGAGGTAATGTTGTTTCGCGCCGGGTTTGCACGGCGGTTTTTATGTTTAGTTTTGTATATGTGTTTTATTTTTCGGGAGAAGGCGAAAAGGATGGAAGAGCTTGATGGCCAAATCCTTCAAAAGAAGGGATTGATTGACATATACTTATTGAAGCCAAGGGAAATAACAGTTTGGGCTGAAGGAGAACGGGCCCTGCAATAATCAGGATGACTCAAACAAAACAAAGGCAACTCCTACATCGTGGTCATCAAGTTATTTCGTTTCGGGTTTTGAACATCAATTTAAAACATTGTATATACATTGTATACACATTGTATATATATATGATATATCCGTTTAAATATATAAACCAAAATGGTACCCTGATCAACCGCTAAACCTCGCCACGTCCACGTCCAAAGTCCATGAACAGTGGGGTATCCTCCGCAGACCCAACGAGGCATGGAGGTGGGGGAAGGGACGCGAGCGAGAACAACGTTGGCCGATGAGTTTCTGTCTTTGGTCCACTACACTGCTGTCCACACACATATGGTATGAACGTCTGCCTATTCCCACTACGCCACCACAACACAAATGCAAAAGTAACTTGGATGGCCACTCGAACCAAACGCTGCAATTGAGTGACAGCATATGACAGCATAGCATGATGATTCATGATATACTATGATATACCGGTACTGCATAAAAACAAATGTAAATTGTTGTACTCTATGTCAGGATTCCAAAACGGGAAATTATCCAAATGTGGGCAAACCAGTGTTTGTTTTTCTTGGACCTGAGACCTGCCTGGTCACTGGGGTGAACCCCCCTCTGTAGCCCAACACAGTCGCCCGCCTGGTACACCCTGGTTCGCCAACTTTGCAGCGGCCCAGAGCGATTGCCTCGTGACAAAGACTTGTCTTGACCCAGAGGCATGGTCCCGGATTTTCAGATGGCGGACTTTCTGTAAGCTCGCTGCTTCAATCGGTGTCTGTAGGCCTAGCCAAAATAGCAAGGAAGGTGGAGTGGAGAGGGATCTACTGGTTAAGCTTTGAACCTCTGCATTAGCTTGACCTTCCAAGTCTCCAAGTCTTCTGTGTTTCCTTGTCCCTCTTCAGACTTGTTGACTTTGCAGTTGGTGGCACAACTACCGTTCTTCTTGAATGTGAACGTTCATCTGTAGCTCCTGTCTTGTTCTCTTCTCGAACAGACTTCTGAAGGCCTCTCCTCTCCTCTCTAGCCATGTCTTGTTGTTCACATCCAATTCCAAGTTTGTTTTCAAGTGTATACTGTACAACGCAAGAGAATTAGGCCGCCCACTATATTTTTGAATATTGCCAATACATTGTGTAGAATTGTGTAGATAGTGGGGATGCACGTGCCAAGCCAAGGTAACTCAACATCCTGGTTAGCTTCGTGAGGCAGCATCCGTGTGGATAGTCGGAAGTACATCTTGACCCCAAAGGCCAACCAACCAACCAGGCAACAAACAATTCAACTATATAAGCCCTCGACCAATCCATCCGCTGAATCCTGCTGACTCACGCATCACACTGCTGACTCATGCCCAGCGGCGTTAGGTCGAAGGTCTTCAGCTCGCGGTCTGATGCGCACGGAGCGGCTCGCGGCTCCCACTGACCTCCCCCAACAGAATAAGACTGTATATGGACCCCCACCTGTCCAAGGCATCTTGGGGTGCCAGTGCCACTCTGAAATCCATGTAGATCATCTATATCCTGACCCTATGGATCCACGGATCCACCTTCTCAGGTTCGGTATGACTGGGTCCGACCCAGGCGCATACATAAATAGTCTCCTTCCTCACCGTGCCTCAGGTTCGGTGTGTGGATACATAGGGTACATATACTACAGCTACTGGGGTGCCATGGTTTGAGGGGTGAGTCGGAACCGGAAAGGAACATTATCTTCTTGCACTGCATGGTAGATCATGGTAGCATGCTACTTCTTACATCTTATCACTCTGCATGCTACTTCTGTTCTCTAACGAAGTTCAACTGGTCAGGTCGATCACCAAATCCACAACTTCTCCGTCCACCATTTCAACACAATGGTCCACACAAGAAGAAAACCACACACATACAAACAAAGGTTGAACAAAAGCTCTGCGGGTCACTGGCACTAAAATCTAGCACTTCTTACCTGGTCATATCTGCCATCTCATGATGTTCGCTTCGGAGCTCCAAAGATTGACCCAACTCGTGCCCGGCGCAAGTAACTCAGCTGTTGGTGGGTCACCATATACCACATGGTAGCCAGAAACCACAAAAGAAAAGGAAGTGCAACAAATTCACCACTCAAGCCCCCCAAAATGGAGCTGGTGGTCAACCCTCTGAGCCAATGGCCCTCTTGCCAGGGCGGGTTTTGCAGGCTTTGATCCAGCACACTCGACACTTCTACGCTCCATTCTGTCGAGTCGCATCCTGCTAACAAGCACAAGCGCTGCGATAAGAAGCCCGGCAGCGCGCACGTGTCAGCCACGTTCCTGCCCAAGGACTTGGTTCTCAGGGGGGGGGGGCGTTTTTTCCACAAAACATGAACCGAATCGACTACGAGAACATGGTCCACCTACCAGGGTTTGGAGGTTTTGACCCACGGCCAGACCTAAGCCATCAGTGACCAGAGAAAAAGGATCTCGTAGCGGACCCAAGTATAGACCCAACAAATGGTATTGGGCGAAGTTGAAGTTAACTACGATCTGCGAAGCTTGGCTGCATCACATTCAGATATTCCAGACCCGAAACTTCTTCATTCATCCACCTGAATCTTCTTCATCTGACTCCACCAGTTTCCCTGGAAAAACAAGTTTTTATCAAACCCTTTTCAAGGAAAAACCAATCCCCAAAGAAGGTCTAAGCTTGTCCAACCCCATCGAATATGAAGGTGCTTAGACCCGAACCCCCCCGGCGGCACGGTGCACCCCAACCACCTTACCCGGGCCGCAACATGGGCCACAACCGTGGAGCCCGCCCGCGTTTGTAACGTTCTCTCACTATCCCCCAAAAGGGCTCCGATCGGCCAATCTCCTCAGGTTCAGTGGTCTTCGACCCTCCTGGCCCTTTCGAATCGCAACTCGTCGGTCGCAAGGCGAGCCGCCTCGACCGAACCGTGGGGCCTGTGCGGCGTGTCCGCCACCAAGACGGCCAGGGCCCACAAGGCGGTGGACAGGTCGCGGGCGGTGAACTTGGGCCTCGGGATCTCGATCGGTCCGAAGGCCCCCGACCGTTTAGGGAAGGCTGAAGGGTCGAAGCATGTAGACGGGTCGATCTGGAGAACGGTGGTTCAGTTGGGGACAACTGCCTCATTAATATATACATACTGTATATATAGACAAATAGATATATAGATATTATATAATATTATATACATCAATCAACCAACTAGTAAAACGGCCATCGGTGAACACCAATCAACAAGTCCCACAGGGCCTCCGTCTGCACACGGAGTGAAACAGGAGACTTTCAAGCTTGTGGGCTTCCAAAACACTTGACATTCTGCTGGGCAAGTGAAGACCTCTACATACAAAGTCCCACAGGGTTCGAAGGCAGGTTCCATAATGAGTTTTGGGTGTACATTTCACTACATTGGGAGGTTTGACATGTCTCAAAACTCCTCAAACCTCTGTAATCCACATCAAATGTACCTCCACATCCATCTAATCCATTCTTGGAAGGAAGGCTCAAGTACAATGCATCATCATATAGACATATATATATATATGATTCTATGCCAAGAAACTCTGCTTGGCTGTCCAAAGATCAGAAATGACAGTCAAGATGACATTTGGGCTCTTGCTGTTTTGCCTCCCCCCAAAACATGATTCCACCGATAAACTAACGTCCTTGACTCTATCCACGCAGCTCCTAGAGGTGTTGAATACAATCGATCATCAGTTGACCTTGACCGTGACCTGAACTTTCTCGCTTGAACCACTCATGTATACTGTATACTATTTGAGAGCTTCTGATCCAGTGGAACTCACTTGTGGGTGGGATGACTGTGGCAAACATGGAAAGAAACATCGTGCTCATTGCCCTTAGCTGAAAAGCCATTTTGCAGTGAACAGAAGAACGTGGTCGGAGGACATGGACTGTAGCGGTTCAGCTTCAGCAAAAGACCCATGACCAATGACCAAGCAGCGGTATCTGCGGTATGACAGGTTCCGTTGTATAGGACAAGAGGAACAACATAGTGGCTTGTCAATGAGCAATATAAAGCACGTCAGCCGCAAATGACTAGAGTTAAGGCTTGGTAACGCCGACGACCCACTTATAGTGGATGATGATTGTTCGTTGAGGCCTCTACTTGCGATTTCGATAATGGTGTAAGAAAGGCGGCGAAAGGCGGCGAAAGCTAGGCTGAAAAGACCCCCCTGGCTTGAGCGTCTTTTGCTTAGTTGTAGTTTAAAGAATCCATACACGGATGGGTTCAAATTGAAGCCCCAGCTACCGCCATGTAGCCACCAGCCGACTGTAACAAAAGACAGCGGTCTGGTGGTGCCATGAATGACTCCATAGGTCCATATGCTCCAACCAGCTAAGCTCTAAATAGGGAGACCTCCCAGTTCAACCCAGCTACCTGAACCACTTCTACCCAGTTCCTCCCTACCAGCCTGTACCCTGAGACACTGTAACCCCCTGTAACCTGAGAATCGCTACAGAAATGGAGCCAGTCCTTCCCAGCTTTCCAGTCCCACCTCCCCATGCTCTGAGCTTCGTCTCGGTGGCCGCCCTGTGGCAGATGCGCTCCACCAAACATGCGAACGGTTCCCGGGCAGCCACTTTGGCCACGGACCTGGTCGACCCACTCGAATCGGGCTCTGGTCTCGTCTCGTCCTCGATCTGGGCGGTCGACCCGAGACTTTCCCCGTGAAGAGACATCTGGAGCTGTGGCGATCCAAAACAAGACCTAGGATATGCATGGATCTGCTTAGGAAATCAAAGACCACTGACCAGCACCCCATAAAACAGGTGTTTCCTGGTGACAAGAAGGTGACAAGTGCCAGCGAGAGGGATTGGAACACGAGGTTCCAAGTGAGGGTCCAATCCTCCCTGACAATGGAAAGGCAAAAAAGGAGCTGGATCATCAACTTCGATCCACAACCATCCTGGAGTAGCTAGAATTTGACCAAACAGAACTAAGATCAGTTTTCTTTATGTTCTGTTTGTTCATTAATAGTTCTTTAATGATAATTTTTCTACCATGGCAGAACAAAGACCTTTATGACCTTAGAGCCTTAGACCTTGTGATGGTTTTCTTGCAGAATACCTCTTGGATAGTCCAGGTAATGTCTATAGGCCCTATAGGCCTATGACCAGCCCCAACCACAGAATTACACACCTGTTTCAAAATCAACCAGCACCCAACTCACAGGTGTTAGCTCCAAGTCCGGTGCCAAGTCCTACCTGGCGAGTCGGGTCCGACTAGAGTGAGCTGCGAGCTGTGACCTTCGGTGGTGGGTCGGTTGACCTGAGGGGCCGGTGTTGCACGCCGAAGGCCTCGAGTCGGCATCCGAATGATTTGGATCACGATTCGTCCGGTACTTTGCGGATCGTCACCGTGACGTTTGCATATCGGAAGAGTCGGAAGAGGGATGAATAAGGACTGAAACCACTCTTAGCACAGATTCTGCAAGACCTTACCACTGGCTGTTTCTGGCTGTGAAGCCGCACCAGTGACCACTCCGACAATACGTTTCTGGCTGTGTCCCTCTTTGACACACAAATCAGCCAGGCAGCCACAAAAAGTTTGCCACGAAGAGCGGCGGTAGGCTTTCGCGCTGCTCCAGCAAGCGTTCCAAACGTTGACACAAGGCCGCCTGCGCTGCTCGTGTCCGAAGAGCGTTTCTGCAAGCATGTGGAGAAGCTCGTGGTGTATAGAAGCTGATGGATCTGAAATTCGTCTACCAGCACCCGCCTCTACAGGTGTTTCCTGCTAAACAAGTCTGGTGCCCAAGAAACCCTTCGCTAGCAACAAAGCACCACCGGTTGCCTCTTTCAAGGCACCAATGGTTCGAGCTGCACCTCCCTTCCCCTCAACTGACCTGGCAAAAGATCGACTTCCAGGGCCCCCCGGTGTTGCGGGTGTCTGTGCCTGCTCCTTAGCGGTCAAGAGCTGTCCATCAACCACCCCCGACTGGGGCCCGTGTTGGAAGATCAGATCGTGTTCCACTCCCCTTTTCGTTCGGGGTCTTCAATAGACTACCCTACTACAGTATCCGGGATCTCTATTGAACACCTAATTGGCTGCAAAGCCTCTTGGATTTGCTGACCAGGAACAGGGAATAAAACAAACATCATGCCACCCCATGCCAGGAAACATCACCCCATCCGGGAAACCATCAAACCATCACCCGAAAACAACAAAGAAACATGTCATTTCTCTGCATCCTCAGGCCGCTGCTCTCCCCATCCTCTCCGAAATCCTCTCCTCCCTACACCTGCCGCTGCCCCCTCTCCATCCGCTGCGCCTCAGCCTCCAAGGCCAACTTCGATGTGAAGTTTCCCGAGCCCCGCGCTGGCCGCTGGCCTCGCCGTTGGGCCGCCCATCTACCACAGGAACTGGGAGAATAGCTCCATGCGCAGCCGGACGTAAAACCAGCGACCAAGAGCTGCCAGGTATGCAGCGATTAAATCCAAACAGCTGTAGACTATAAAGATAGGTTCTCCCCCTTCAAACGTTTTAACATCACAAGATCAATGATTATCTAAACTGATATTATATATATAACGACATATAACGTATCTTTTTCTGTTGGGAACAATGCTTTTGAATGCCTTTTGTTATCTAATAATTTCTGATACATACATACTGTAACAAATGATGCTAATTAAGGTCAAGATAGGTCAAGTAACTCTTGGCAGGTAAATTCCAATGAAACCCAAGTCCACCAGTCCACCAATTCCCTTCTATATAGATACACAAAGTCACTGTTTGGATCCATCCGGCTTCCGATTGGTACCTGGGCATTCCCTGGAATCCTCACAACTCCTGAGCACGGCGATGCTGCGCGTGCCTGGCTTCGTGACTTGCTCCAAGCGTTGGTTGTCCAGTCGCGCCAGGCTGCACAAGGCGTTCACCGCGGCGCGTGCATCGCTACGATCGGCGAAAAGCTTCAAGGTCTCATAGAGGACCTGCTGGAGCGCAGTTGTGCGGGACAAATCTGGTCGACCACAGGAATACTGAACACTTTTGACGTATCATGGTATGCCCCTACTTGGTAATGACCCCCCACAACCGATTTGGTTCAGCTGCCTTTGCCGCTTCTGTAATAATTGTTATGTCGCTATGTTTCATGAGTATATTTTTGGGAATCACGGTCCATGACAAGAGGGATTGTGGGTCATCATGTTAAGGCTCCAAACATAGCAAAGACCTTGTAACAAAGCTTCTAATCCACATCTCACAAAGATTCACCTGGGCTTTTGGAGTAAATTGAAGTCCCAAGAAACCAAACAGCCACGTTCCCTTAAGATCTCCTGCGGTCCGCGTCACCTCATGGCTGCCGGGCTGGAAGAACAAGTCGTAGATCCGCCGCTCGCGCTTGCTTCGGCCCGAGCTCGTCGTGGGCGTCGCGGGCGACTCGAACGGAGCGGGACTCGCCTGGGTCGAGGTGAGCTGGCGACAGCGAGGTGGGCAAAAGACCTGGTAGAAGATACCTCAAAACCGCAGAGACCCGACTCTACAGGTGGTGTCTTGGTTGCTAACAAGTAGTTTTTTGGGGCACCAGACTTGTTTAGGAAACACGTGTAGAGTCGGGTGCTGGTACTGGATGGTTGCAATCCCCACTAAACCATCCACTTGGGAGTTTTGGTCGTAGCTCACACATGTTCTTGACCTTCTTGTTGGCCTTTCCTAAGGGTGTGAGGGGGCCGATGCAAGCGTGATGCTGAAGAAGGTCTGAATAGTCGACTGGTCGACAAGCAAATCAGCTAAAAGAAGATGTTTGGCAACATGAGCCACATATACTTGATGGTACCAGTATACTCCAGCAACATTCCCAGCAAAGAAGTATGTCACAATAAAACCCATCGAAATCTTCTCTTTATACGTTCGTTCACCCTTCACGACCGAGTGGAATGTCGACACTTGCAGCCACAAATGACGGTTTAACGATACCCGCGTTTGAAGTCCGGTAATGGTGGTGTTAAATTAGATGGATTGGTAACCAACACCCTCCAACAGGTGCTTCCTGGTGACAACAGCTGCCCACAACCCCCCTGTTAGCAGCCATACACCACCTGTTGGAGGGTCCTGGCAGAATGGTCGCTTGCATGAACAATATGTGATACATTATGATCATACCTTGATCAATCAATTATGATTCTACTTGGCCCAAACAGTGGAGAAGTGTCCTCAAGTATGGTCTATACGGTGGTCCATATCTCCGATCACATTTCATTGAGGAATTTCTTTTCGGTAATTCCAAACGTTTGCAGTGCGGAGCAAACCGGAAGATCCAAGCTGGATTCGAGTACTCCTGTCTGAGATCCAAAGGAAAACACAGTATGACATCCTGCTGGTGAACAAGTTTCACTGCAAAACATGGGAACCCTTCACCAAATGGATTGAACATTGAAAGGAGATGGCTGCTGCACATGCTGTATGTTGATGAACCTTAGCTCACAATCTTCACACTGAGACGCGAATCCCCAGTTTCATCTAGAATCTATAGCTTGAACAAAAACCTGTTCGAGGCCTCTCTGGCTGAGGGCTACAACGTCGGAAGCCAGCTGGCTACAACGTCATCATTCTACAACATGCGCCTGGTTGGCATCCGAGATCTTGGCTGCACCACCAGCTCCGTCCACCTGCTTGATGTGGGTGAGCGCCACCATCTTGTTTGCGGCGTCGGTGAGCGCCCCATCGAACACGCGCGTCGCGTGGTCCAACGGCGCGAGAACTCCCTGAAGCGTCGTTAAAACATGGCCCTGCGAAGGAGCACGAAGCAAGGCGCACGTGAATGTGATCAGTCCACCAGGAAGGCCACATCCGCCCTGTCGCCCTGGGCTCTGGCGCGAGGTTTCCAAGCTGCCCAAGTCTCAATCGAGGTCAATTGAAGTCCTTCCAGAGGGGCTGCGAAAGCACAAACCCGATGGATCCACTGCCACCTTCTCAGAAGGTATGACTGGGCCCTGCTGGCGCCTAGAAAAATCGTCTCCGATCACCTTCTCAGGTTCGGTATGTGCATCAATGTGGATCCATAGGGTATAGGGAAGCAAAGTTTCGGTGTGTCTACGGCTTGAGTGTGCTTTAGTCTTTGGAAACACTGGGACGACACCAGCGACAGCAGCAACAACTGCCTGGATCTTGTGGGTTGATGACAGTGCAGCGACCAACAGTGCAGAAGCTGAAATCGCTCCACTCTGACGCCAACTGATGCAGACTCTTGATTAGTAAACTCCCCATTTGAATAGGACATCCTCTTCATATGCGGGGTTTATTAATCAAGAGTCCCTCTAAGCTGGGACGCCAGGTGGGCATCGAGGAGGGACTAGCAGCATCCACCTGGTAGCGTGCCCAAGTCCTCAAATGAGAACCTGGTACGCCTGAGCCACCAGGATAGAACCACTCAAGCAAAGCGTCGCTTGAACAAATTGCTGGCACAATTTCATGGCGGCCAAGCTCCGCCACCTTTGAACATCGTAATAAAACACCAACAAGAGGCACCTCCCACTCAATGTCCACAAACTCATCTGGAAACTGGAAACCCCTCCACGCGATTCCTTTTGGCCCAGGGGCGCCGAATCTCCGGAAACCTCCGAAGCGGCCGCGGCGACGCATCGCAGGCGCACCAGGCACGGCGTTTCAGCCACCCATAAGGCCTCAAAGGCAGGTGAATTGGTGGCGGGGAGTGCGATTTTGTCTGCGATGTTCTGCTTTGAAATATTTGGAGATGTTTTAGTATTCTTTGGGAGAGAAGAGAAGCAACTGTGCTGCTTGCCAAGTGGTCTTGGAAGTTAAACACATTAGTATCTGCCCCACACATTCCCTCACTCGGTGAGGAAAAATACAATGGCCTGAGACGCGAGAGTTTGTGAGTTGGGAAGGTGTGTTAAATGTGTTAAATGAGAATAACTTGGGGAAGGCTCTTGGAGTTGGGAAGGTGTATTCTTAAGTCAAATGTGAGATTACAGAGGTGTACTACTAAGATGCTGCTTGGAGAAGAACACGAGTCAAGCTTGTCAAGCCATCGGAACAAATCCCTCCTCGCACTTCCGAAGGAAAACTTCACTCTGCGCAGTATGCCTGGCCCACAAGAGTCCTCAGGATATTTAGTTCTTCAACTCCAAACCAAGCTCTGGATAGTCTGTTACATGTCCGTGGGCTCAACGATCAGTGCATCTCCCCAACACCAGGAGGTCCCGCTTTTACATTTCAGTGATGTTCAGTGTATGACCTCACAAGTGAGATCTAATCCCTTTGGAGGATCTACAACGATCCGATCATCGTCATCACCGTGTCTGTCTTTTTCGGGGGTCAACACCTTTGGTCTCATCCCGTCATCGTCACAAAACATATCCTTCCCCAGCACCCGACTCTACAGGTGTTTCCTGGTGATCAGTCCGGTGCCCCAAAACACAGCACCTGGAGGGTCCGGGCACCCCTCGGTGTCCACGTGATGTCCATGTGGCGCAGAACCGCACCGTGGCGCTCCCTTTTCACCGAGCGCGGAACGCACTCGATAGGCCTCCGCTAAGGCCTCCGCACACAAAAAGAACGTGGCGGTGTCCGGATGGATTCGAGGTGAACACCCCAAGGCTGCAAGGGTAAGAGGCCTGACTCCAACTATATACACATCCAAACTGTCACCCGAAATAAAGAAACATCAAACAGCACAACAAACACCTGCTAGCAAAGAGAAATCAAAGCATCCCCTACACTTCACCCCGTTCCAGACATGCATCATCTCCTTGAAGTGCACCAGCCCAGGTGGCCTCCCCCTCCCCCCAGTCACTCCCAATTGGTGCGGAGATGTGCAGAGCCTGGGAATTCTCGAGGCCCAATGCCGAAACCACCTGTGGTAGACGCTCGCGGCCGCCAAGGGCCAAGGGTAGTGATGGTCCATGGTAAAGTGCTTAGACTGGCTAGACCATCGTGGCACCCTAACCACCGAACCGAAACGGAGGTAGGCCAGGAACATCCAGGAACCCTACAACATAGGAAATCCATCAGCCATCTTGGATTTGCTTATATTAATCCGCTTTTTGAAAAAATCTAAACCTGATTCCCCTATGCCAGGTATATAATTCACCCAGTTCAGGAAAGGACACCCACACTGCGAGGATGAGGATCTTCGGCCGAGGACCGGGGACCAACTGAGCGCGGGATGGTCGAACCACCGAGGTGAGTGAGATCGTACTGGCCGAACTGGGGCCCAAAAAAACCTTCAGGATGGCCATGGACCCTTAGGGTTTATATCAAGACCTCTTACGATGTTTTAAGCAACAAAGTAGTGTAATCAGTGGTTTGTTATTTATGAAACACATGTCGAATGTCAGGGAACAATATGGCATCGCACACAGTGACAATAACACGCTGCCCAGTTTATCAGATGATGATGTTATCAAAATGAATGACAAAACAAGTAACAACATGATTCTGAATCAAAACAAATTTAACTGTCTGCTCAAAGTAGTTCCTGTGAAGTCTGCCATCAGGTAGCCTCATACGTATGAAGTTGCTTAGCTCTATGTGTATATGTACCATCATTGAAACATGAGCAATGGGTTTCCAACCCACCTACTGTTTTAAGTATCAACTACTGTAACAATTTTTAACTTCTGCCTATCAGTATAAACTATAGGTATCAATTACTCAAACACTATACTCCCATACGCACCATGCATGGCATATTGACCTACAATGTTGTGGTTTCAGGTGTCAATGGTTATACAAATGCACATATATATATACACACCTAGAACCTGAGTGACCTCTATTTGAGGTCACCAACCAGCCAAAATCTGTCAACATCTAGTCCTACTCAAGGTTATATATGTCTATTATACGGGCCATATAACTTTTCTCTTCAATAACCATTCTAGGTATGTATATATATATATACATATTTTCCCGAATGCATAGCGAAGGGTTCTCGTTTAACTCTTGCGGGTCTGGGGGTAGAGCCTTGTTCGCGATCCGTTGTTTCTACGTCCGCAACCATCCGCAACCGTTCGCGGTAGAGCGCTAAGGCGCTGCCATTGGGGGAAGCTTTTGCAAGTGACTATTCATGGATGTGTCACGTGTCAGTTTGCGCCGCTATTCCAGTGTGATTTGCATGAAAAAGACACGTCGCGCAAGCAACGTGATGGGTTTCGCTGCACAGGCGCAGCGTTTGGTGAGATCTGCAGATTGCTGCGCAGTTCCATTAGGATTAGCGTTTGGAGAGTCGTGTTTTTGGGGTGTTGGATGTGACCGTGCCATTGGGATTTGCGTTTCAGGGTGTGGCATCGAAGCTCTGTTTTCGTGACAAGTCTCAGCTGAAATGCCGATTTTGGTGGATGGGAGTGTGCTCAGAATGGGTCGAAATCACTCCAAACGTGTGGTTTGGTGCAAATTTGGTTTAAGCTCACATGAGATGACATGGTTACTTTTCGCGGCAGGCACAGGACTTTGTGCGGGTTTTGAGGTGTGGAAGTGAAATCTTCGTGGCAGGCGCAGGGAATCGTGAGGTTGCGATGTGTAACAGAGGTGACATTTCGTGGCAGGCGCAGTACTTTGTGCGCGTTAGACGTGTGGACGCGGAAAGATTCGGCGCAGGGAATCGGGAGGTTGTGAGTTGTGGTATAGAGGTGAATGTCGCTGTCACATTGGGATTGGCGTGTGAGCGGGTGTCGTTTGGAGGGGCTGGAATCGCGAAACTGCTTGGCAGGGCTGTGTGATGTGTGTGTGCTCCGATGGGTGTTTCCGCAAGAGTATCTCACAAGAGTGTCCCTTAAGAGTGTCCCGCAACAGTGTCCCACAAGAGTGTCCCACAAGAGTATCCCACAAGAGTGTCCTACAGGAGTGTCCTAGAAGAGTGTCTGACAAGAGTTTCCTACAAGAGTGTCCCACAAGAGTGTCCCACAAGAGTGCCCTACAAGAGTGTCCCACAAGAGTGTCCTACAAG